GATTCAGTACTTCTCTATCACCAACAGATAGGTCATGCGACAAAAAAAATCAGCAAAGAAACTTTAAAATTAAATGACACCATAGATCAAATGGACCTGACAGATGTCCATGGAGTATTCTGTCCATAACAAACACCAACAAAATCCAGAGGATCATTAGGGATTACTTTGAAAATCTATATTCAAATAAACTGGAAAATCTAGAAGTGGATAAATTTCTAGATACATATGAACAACCAAAATTGAGTCAAAAGGATATAAGTCACCTAAATAGATATATAATAAGCAGTGAAAGTAAAGCAGTAATAGTCTTCCCAAAAAGAAAAGTCCAGGACCTGATGAATTCACTGCTGAATAGAATTCCAAAAGCAAGAGAAAATGAACAAATTTGCAATATTAAAATACTCTATTTTACTATATAAATATAATAATTTTATAAATATTGTTAATTATACTTATACAATAAATAAAGTGCTACAATATTTGTGTATTATATACTGGCGTATTCTTGTTTCTTTAACTTGTTTCTATAAAAATTACTAAATAAATGTTTATGAACTTTTTATGATATAAAGTATACATATTTATATTCTTATTTTTCAAAATCCTATTCAGTTTGGCAAATTATGATACACTGCTGAATCAATATAAATTTATTTGAGTATTAGTATATATGAAAAAAAATTTGCTTATTTGTATGGTACCTTACCTTTCTTTTGTTAATTATCCATTTGGATTTTTCCACATTTTTCCACTATGTTATGTATTCTTTTAATTAATATGCAAGAACTCTTTATTCATTAAAGCTTTATTAACTTTTATATAAATTTCCTATTTATACTTTCCTTTAAATTATGTTAATATTTTCAGACATGTAAAACTTTTTAGATACGAAAATTTTTATTGAGTCATATGTCTGTGTAAAGTAAAATATATAACTCACGAGTTTCCTCCTCTTGTATTAGGATTTAAAACAATGTTTTCAATAACATATAAGTATTAATTTTAATTTTCTCTATGGCTACAGGTTCATTTTTACTTTTAAACTTTAATAACTATAGAATGTATGTGGCACAGTACATGTGATAAGAACAGCTTCTTTTTTAAATGATTATATACCATTTGTTAACCCCGTGGCACGATGCTTCTTCCAGTTACTTAAAAAGTTATATTTATACTATACAGAATGCTCATGTATTAATTAATGCCTACTTGTAGACTGAACACATGTGTTTATTCTTGTAATTGTTTGTTTTCTGTTGCAATTCATTTCCCTGCTCACAAATTACAACAGAACTAATATTACATAATTATTTATAAGTTTATGTAAATGCTAACTTTCTTTTTATTAAGATAACATTAACAGAAAGCTTCTATACCTTCTAAGACAAGTTACTGGTAATTTGCTTGCTGTTGTTTTAGCATGCTTATTAACTAAATATATGTTTAGGCTTAATTGACACTTACCTTTACAAAAATTCTTTAGTTTTCTCATTAGTTTACTCATTTACTTTACAAATATTTTCATTTACTTACTTCCAAGTAGCATGCAAGGTATTAAGAGATATAGTAGAAAATAAAAGATAGCTTCTGTTTGACACGATACTGAAAGTCCTAGTTGAACTAAGCAAAAAAAAATAAGTCATCCAAATTAAAAAGGAAAACATTAAATTGTCTGTTGGCAGATCACCTTTTTATATATATAGAAAACTGTAAAGACTCATGCATGCACAAATGACTGTTAGCCACAATAAACTAATTCGCCCAAGTTGCAGAATATCAGAAGTTAAGAAAATACTATTTAGCTACAAAAGAAATAAGGTACTTATGAATAAATTTAGTGAAGGGGTGAAAAATCTCTACACTGAAAACTATAAAACACTGATGAAGGAAATTGAAGACACAAATGATGGAAAGATATCCTAAATTCATGGACTAGAATACTAATGTTGCAAAAACATCCATACACTTCCCAGGTAACCTATAGGTAAAATGTAACTCCTATCAAAATATCAATGAGCTTCTTAACAGAAATAAACAATTATAAAATCCATATGGAACCATAAAAGACCCAAATAGAGCTATCTTGAACTAAAAAACAAGCTGGATGTATCACACTGCCTAACTTCAGAATATACTACAGAGCTATAGTAACAAAACCAGAATGGTACAGACATAAAAACAGATATAGACAATAGATTAGTATAGACAAACCAGAAGTAAATACACATATTTATAGATAACAGCTTTTAACAAGAACACACAAAAAGGAGATAAACTGTATGGGAATACCCTATGCAAAGGAATGAAATTAAACCATTATCTTACATCATTTGTACAAATCAACTCAAAATGGATTAAAAGTTAAATGTTAGACCCAAAAGTAAAACTACTAGAAAAAAATTGAAAAAGCTTCTTGGCAAAGATTCTCTAGTTATGACTCCAAAAGCACACATGAAAAAAACCAAGACTATATCATACAAAAAAGCTCTGCAAAGGAAACAAACAATACAGTGAGAAGTTAAAAAAAAAAGGCCACAAATGGATAAGACAAAATATTTTCAAGCCATATATCTAATAATGGGTTAATATCTAAAAAGTAGAAGGAACTCAAACAAACTCAATTACAACAAAAAAAAGTCCTGGCTTTTAGAAATGGATAACAAAGAAGTATCCCCAAGGTATATTGATGGAATGGCAACTCAAGACAGCTCATTTTAAGTTTGCATACAAAATGAAGCTAGAAATGCCATAACTTCAAAATATACCCTGGGACTGGAGATGTGGCTCAGGGGAAGAACACTTGTACACTATGTGTGAGACTCTTGATTTATTTGATCCTTGACGGCATAAAACATAAAAAATATATACTCGATGTTAATCAATAGCCAGTTCTAATATTTTATCTTGTATACTTATAATAAAAATATAAATTATATTTCAATGAAAGGAGTCCAGAGCCATAAATTTCCTTTGTATGGATCTTCTATTGCTAAAAAAAGGAACAACATTCATCAACATTTATTCAAATTCATAATGTGATCAGTTATAACTTACTTCTCAAGAATGAACAAAATCAGGTCATTACAAAACATTGAGACACTTCATTTGTAATTATTATTAGATTGTGACACACATATAAACTGTGTGTTTCTCAGATTCTACACCTCCCCTTTTTTTCATAATTCTTTGATTTTATCTATATGGAAAAACACATGTTGCCATCTTTGCCTGTTTGGAAGCACTGCATTCATGGAAACTATTTAAGTCTGACCAAAAAGTCAGTCCAATTCATCTTTAAAAAGTGGAATTCAACTGGTTTCTAATCCTGTGGAGACACTAAAAGTTTATCTTATAGTTCTGACATTATTAGCACAAGGTTTCCCCTCAACAATCACTATACTACACCATCCAATAGCAATTATGATAAGCTGCAATATTATGACATAATAAAAATAGAAAATTTACCACATCAGCCTTCAAGTAATTCTATATTTTTTTATGTCACTAAGACCACTGTTCAGTTCACCTAAAACTGTTTATGTAACACGACTTTCTTGATACAGTGCACGTTGACATTCTGATGCAGGTTCCTTAAAACTGAGCAACTATTCCAGAATATTTCAGGTTCCTTTGGAATGCACTCCTTAGCAAAAGAAATTCCACACATTTGTTGAAGATTGGCTTATTCAGTTCACAGCTAGGTTTGCTTGGCATCAAACTAAGGGAAAAAAAGTTTTCCCTCATTTTACTATGCTGTTCAGTGGTTGCACATAAAAAATAACTAAGTTTTAACAAAAAATAGTAAGGTTTATTTGTTCCAAAAGCGTGTCTTCCATATCATTATCCAATTATGGATACATCAAACTATGCTTTCATCAGGAGCTCAGGGTCCTTTTCCAAACTCAGCTTGTCATTGGCAGAATTCAGTGCTGTCTTATTTACAGAGCTCAAATACCGACACTTTCTTTCTTACTTTTAGCTATGAGCACTCCTAATTCCTACAACGTGTTCTCAGGTACTTGCTACAAATCCTCTGACTTCAAATCTCTCTTCAGCAATGAAGGTGGAGAATGCTCAAAGCTCAAGTGAGTAGATTAGGCCTACCTGAATAACCATTTGTCCTTAAAATTACCTATACCATATAACATAACCTAATCACAGGAATAAGATGCATAATAGTCACCATCCTGGGAGTTCTGCAGACCACGCACACAGGAAAATCTTGGGGCCATCGCAGAATTCTCCCTGCTACAATCCTTTGTTCTGCAGCTATTAATCCTATCCAAGGGACGTTATCATTTTGATTACTGTATTTTTCATCTCTAAAACTTCAATTTGGTTTTTTTTTCTTTACATCCTCTCATTCTCTCCTCATTGTATTCATGTTTGCCTTTAAATTGAAAAATATCTTGAACACACTTGTAACAGATATTATCTGATAATTCTATCATTTCTGTTGTTTCCAAGCCTGTGTTTACTGATTTTTCTTCTGCTCTTGTTCACATACTCCTTTCTTTACATGCTTACTAATGTTTTAGTGGATGTTCAACATTTAGTCTTCATGGTTTTTTGGTGAAATATGTTTTGCATTCCTTTAAAGAAAATTAGGACTTTGCTCTGACTTAGAGTTAAATGACTTGAAGGTGAGTTTGTCTAGGCTTATTTTCAATCTCTTTTCCATTGAGTCTACAGTAGCCTATTTGTCTCCACTAAGGTATGACTCTTCTTCAGTCTCTGGCGTATGCCATCATTATGCATATTAATATACATATAATTAGGTATCCTTTATTTGCAGATGATACTTAAATAAATATTATGGAATGCAAATGTATAAAAGCTATACTTTGCTCTCTCAATAATGAGGTATAAATACAGCATATCATCTCCATAAAACATGAGGTGTATGCTTATTATAATAATTACAACATGAATACATGTTTTATAACAACTCATGAAGTAAGAATACCAAACAGGTCAGGAGATGAAATCAATATTACCTTTGTAAAATGAGTGGGCAAAGCTCTGCTCAGGAATTAACTTGGCAAGGAATCCATGGTTCAAACTTGGATGAGGAATAGATGGTATAACCACAACTGTGGAAAAAATCATGGAATCAAATTTGAGGCAGAATTAACAAACTACAACATGGACCACTGAAGATTCATGACAATTCTGTATTCCTAAAACATGCAAACAGTACTAACAATAAAGAATGCATCTCTGAAGGAAGAAAATAAATTATGTATTAAGAGAAAAGACATAATATACTAAGTAGAATAGTTTCAGCAACATACAAGAGACATACAAATAGACAAGAAAATTAGAACTAGAAAGAGGTTTACTAAAATACTGCTCATTTTACATATATAATATATACGAACACATTAAAAATGGATAAAGTCTTAGTGTTACAAGTGAAGAAAGGACATAAACTATAGTGGAAGAATAATGTTTAATTTGTAGAACAAAAGTGTATTACAATGAAATAATACCATGTTTACATGTTAAAAGCAAATATAACATGCAACAGCAAAATGCAATAGCTAAAATATAATCCTTGTATCCAAAATAGTAGTAAAAGGTAAATAAGATGAGATATGCTTATGGAAAACAATATGCAGAGATTTGGCCACTAATTTCTACTCACTTTTTTAAAAATCGATTTAATTTTAGATCATACACATTTACTTAGGAAAGATAATTTCATCTAAAAATTATTCCAGTGACACATGAAAAAAACCATTGAGTTATCAAGGTTACAATGCAAACAACAGAAAAATAACCTTGATATGAATACCTGGTAGGAAATGCATAGGATTAAAGGCACTCTGTGGTACTGAAATATTAGTTGCCAGAAAATGTTTTTATAGATTTCAAATAGAGCAGGCAAAGCCAATAATGCAAGAATTCCTAAAACATGAGTGAATTTTGCAAATGAGAAGGACAACATGACCCAAGGTGGCTCACTGTTGTCTATGATGTTATTACTCCACAAGTCTTTGATTTTAATTCAGGCCACTTTGTACAAATTTTGCAGCATTTGTACAAAATTTAAAATATATGTTGGCATATTATGAATGACTAATAAGACTTTAGATATTGAAATAACTATAGTGCATGAAAACAGAGAGGACAGGAAAGAAGGGAAGAAGGAAGGGAGAGAGGAAAGGAGGGAGGGAGGAAGTTATTCTTGAACTTGGCTACACAGATTTATATTTTGGCTTACTCTTGGTCTTGAATCACTCTATAAGGATCTCCTACTTTCATGTTTATTAAAATTTAAAAAGAAATTTATCAAAAACCATGAGTTGCTTGCATATAAACAATGGTATAGCTAAATGCTTTGTAATCATAAATGGGAAATGATAAGACCAAAGCTATGCTAATAAAAAAGGAATATAACAAACTATTACAGAAATATCATTCATATACATTTGGTGGAATTAAACCACAAACTTCTGTAAATATTTGAGATGATTAGGAGTAAGTATAGTTTAAATGTGGATGTAAACGTGATTAAAAAAGAGATGAATGCTGGTTAGAATTTAAATAATTTTTTAAAAATTAAATACCTGTACTTGTTGGCGAATTAATTTCTTGTCTGATGTTTCTACCTGGTTGGCTTCCAGTTCTTGCAGTGTCTCTCTGGGGTTCTAAAATGTCACGATACTTAGACACCATCAGGACAGAAATGAAGTAAACAACAGCCAGAGCTAAGAACTGTGCTTGCTTGCTATCATCCTGTGTAAATGAAAGAAAGTTTCATGTTCGAAATTTTCAAAGTGTATGTTCTTGAAGAATCTATTCTTGCTTTACTTTCTTTATGGAAGCAAACATGACATTTAACTTTTATTAAAAACCTGGTAAGTATACATTGTTATTTACTAAGTATCATGTAAGGAAAAACACAAAACGTATCATCTGAGTTACTGGTTCAAATGTAATTTCACAAAACTAAATTGTTAAAATTTTGCTAAATATGCCACGAAGTTTTATCCTTTGCCCTAATTATGATTTTTATCCACTACTGCACACTAAAACAATGTGTTTATGAAATATGCAGATGACACAAAGTTGAAGGAACAATTAAATGTCCTGGATTTTCAAAAATCAAGAGTTTTGAATATTATAACTGAACAAAATTAATAGGATAAAATGCATAAAGCATGAATTTTACACAAGCTTCATATGAATTACAAGTATGATATGGTGGCATAAGAAAAAGCTAATTCAATCTTTGATTACATTGTACCAGAAAAAAAAAATGACCTCAGAAACAGTGCCAATGTTTGAAGCTTGTCATTTCAAAAGTTCAATGATAACATAGAGTTTTTTCAGAGGAGAACAGCAAAATGGTTAAAGGTCTAAAAAAACGGGGGGGGGGGGGTTAAGTTAAAGAGAAAGGAGTTTAAAAATGCAGATGCACAATAACAGAAAAGATAACTTCAAAATAGGTGGCTTTCCAAAAATATTATGAAGTATATGCAACTTTGAGAATTCTATTCAAAGAGCCTAGAAAAACATCTTTTATACAAATAATGATAAGAAAGCTAATTTATACAACCTCTAATAATACGTCCATATTAGACCATTTTCTAAAGAACCAAATGTAAATGCTCATAAAGTCTTCTTTATAAGGTATGGAAAACTAGTTATTTCCAAATCAAAACTGTAAATTGTGACTGGGGCCTCACAGGTACAAATTATATACAATATATATATAATATATATACTATATGTAGCATATATAGAAATAAATAAGGAAAATAAAAGTGCATTAAATTCCAATAACTTCATTCATAACTGTTCTGTATTCAATATGTAACTTAAGCAAAATGCAAACAAGATTCATAATTTATGTACATTTATCAGAAAAGAAAAATATTTACTAATGATTTGATATTATGAAACAGAATTAGCACAACTAAGGGAGAAATGACTAAAATAGATAAAATATGTTCTGAAGTGTTGTGGATTTAGTACTTCATACACTGTGGGTAGTAGCTTTTACAGAGACACAGTTTTTTAGGAAGTGTTTTAAATGCACACTCCTTGTATTACCATGTGAAGGGACAAACACAGAGAGAAGGACAAAATCAAATACTTAAGTAGTTATTAGAAAGGAAAATGAAATAAAACCAGACTAGCAAAAATACCACACAAGAATGAATTCATCCACAACCCAAGCTGTAATGGATTGTATTTTCCACAATACTTCTATTTCTGCCATTGGAAACTCCATACCAGGCAATTAGAAGGCATTAACAAATATATGTGAAATGAATGAATGGCAATCATGATGTTGCAGATCTGTAAATAACAGATACTATGTGGTATGAGCCAGACTAAAATCCCTCATGTATGAGTAGTCTTCAAGATAACTGCACTGCTTATTTAAAGTTCTCTCTTTGAAAATCAAGTCTGACGTATAAAGAGGCTAACCATCTGGAGAATTAATTTTTGTAAAAATTGACTCTTACAGGTATGTTATTATGAGACATTATTTCTATTATGTGCTTCCCATCTTTTAAAAATGGTCCTCTCTCCACTATTCCAACTTCAATAGTAACATAATTAGCTGATCTGAAATTCTTTAAAGATTTTAATGTATATGCTGGAAGCATGGCTCAAGGTGTGGAATGCCTACCTAGCAAGCACAAAGTCCTGAGCTCAAACTCCAGTATGACAAAAATGTTAATGCATAACATGGGATGAGGGAAAACTTTCTAATTCAACTTTGAAAGATTAAAATTTACTTTAGCTTATCTAATTTTGGATATAGGTAGCTTAATATAATCTATGATCTGAGAGGGAAAAGAAAAAAGCATAATGAATTTTCTTTTACTTCCAGCCTATTCTGAAAACAAATTTTTTTTTTTTTTGGTGGTACAGGGGTTGAAATCAGGGCCTCTCATGTTTTAGGCAGGCACTTTACCAAGGGACTTTTTCATTGATTATTTTTTTAAGGTACATTCTCCAACTGTACATGCCCAGACTGGCCTGGATTGCAATTTTCCTATTTGTGATTACCCATGTAATAACAGGCATACATCATGGTGGCCACCCATTAGTTGCCAAGGCTGGCATCGAACCACAACCCTCCTGATCTCCACTTTCAGAGTAGCTTGAGCCACTGTACCCAGCTCAAAGTTCTTTTCTAACCCATTTTTGTCTTACCATATAGCAAATTGTCCCACATAACTCTTCTACCTGAATCTAAATAGTTCATGTGAGTTTAAGTCACCAATGTCTTTATCATAGAAAATAAGAAGAAAAAGAAGCATTTATTCTGACATTTTATGAAACTTTCCTCCTACTACACAGCTAGTATGCACTTTCTTCCACTGCCATTTCTACATTTAAATGCTTGTGTATACAATCTTACTAAGAATACTACATACTTAAAAAATAAAGCAGCTGAGAAAGAGTAAAGGGGAAAAAAGAGACAAATGTTTACCCTAAGATTTCTGTATATCACTTAGTCATTTAATCTAGGAATATATATATATATATTGCTATATATATGGATGTATATATATATACATATATATCCCTATATATATGTGTATATATATATATATATATATATATACATACACATCCATATATACACTCTCTATATATACATATATACTTATATAGTGTATGTGTGCATATATATTTCTTAAAAATCTAATTTTGGTTACATTTGTTTTAAAAATAATGCAGCTTAAATAACTCAGTTTATAAGATTTTCAAAAATAAAGATGAATACTTAGCATAATATCTACAACTGAGTAAAATACTATCAAATGTAAAATACCTCCAAATGTCACAGATTATTCAAATGTTAAAAAGGTATCTTGGAATCTAGGAAATGTGGTAAAAAGATAATGCTTTGGAAAGATCTGGTTGTGATTCTAACTCTATCTTATGTTTCTGAGTTTTTCTCTTAACTCACAAGTGGAGGCGTAGAATAATACAGATTCAAGTGCTTGATACATAGTGTAAACTCAAGGAACACAGGTCATATCACCTTGATGATGTTTGGAAGGTACATACTGGCAACACTTAGTGTTCCTTTAGAAAAGAAACTAAGAACTACTGCTAGGTGATCTGATCTGCTTACAAAACATCTATGAATTTGAGAAAAATCGTAATACTTACGTAGTACTTACTTAAGTACAACTTAATCCCTCCTTTATTTTATGTTAGTTTTTACTGTGCCTTTTGGAGATGAAGATATACTCCATATTACAATAATCCACTTATTTAAAAAAATACTTTTTTCTCATGATGACTAAGTCCCATTTCTAAATGGTGAAACTTAGGATGATACCTTTTTTTCAAGACCTAGATTAGTGCCCAGATCATGGTGAGATTTTTAATCAGAGTTTTAATGCTATCCTTTAAAAGAAATTTCCTTGTTTTGTGCTTATAAAAGTAATACAGGTTTATTACAAAAAATTAAAAATATGAAAAAGCATAAAAGAATAAAGGACAAAATAAAAATCTGTTTATGGAGAGATGATCATTATTAGATTTTTGGGGGATATTTTCTAGTCTTTTATATAACAGAAGTGCATGTATGTGTGTGTGTGTGTGTGTGTGTGTGATATAAATGTATTCAGTATGTACATATAACATTTGTGTTAATATTAGTGTGTCTGCACATACTGTTGATGTCTCAAAGTATATCATGATCATTTTTCTGGGTCATTACGTTTACCTTAAAATATGATCATAATAGTTACACATAGTTTTCCTTTGACTTAATATGTTAAGATCTATTCAGTTAAAAAACATTATTGGATATTTATAATGGTGCCAATTTTCTAGTAGGCCTCCCAATGTCTATTACTTAATCACACTAAGTTATCAACTTCTGAATAGAACTATTGGATCATAAGATATCAATATTTGTAAGAGTTTTAACATGTTGGAGTAAAAAGCTTTGTAAATGTTTCCCTAATTTATACTTACATACCAGTGATTATAGAACAGAGCTTGTTCACTGCACCCTTGCAGTGCAAAGTATTACCATTTAAAAATTTTAGTTCATTTAATATTGGAAAGTATCTTGTTTTATGTTAATTTTGAAGATACTCTCCATGCTTGCTGTCTTGCACTTCATATCTTATATCCATTGCCTGTTTTTCTGTTGTTACTCTTCCCACTGATTTATAAGAATATATGCTTAAAAGAGTGATAATTTTCCTATTGTATATTCCTACCATGCACCAGTATTCTGTATAACTTAAATATATCTTAAGTACATTCCAAAGTACAAAGTACTCTATCTAATTTATTGTTACATAAATTTCAAAAATAAACTGTCTTATTTATTTTTGAGTCATTAGCTAACGTAAGAAAAAACAATCTAAATGGTTGGTTTATAAAAGCTATATTAAAACATGCTATAAATACTGAACCTTCTGCAAAACACTGTATATGTTTCTAAACAATTTATGAAAATACCTATCTTATTTTTACTTAGCTTGAGTCAGTGGCAACGTAATTGCAGAGTTTTATGAAATCTCCTTAAGGTATCTTTTTCCTTAAACAATAATAAGCTATCTTTCTAATTCAAATTCCCATTAACATCTGTATTTTCAAACTGCAGATTTTTTTTTAAACCTAACTTCACAGGCTGAGGACATGTCATTAGCAAGCTTGAGGCTCTGAGTTCAACCCCAGTACTGTTAAACAAACAAAACTTCTCTCCCCACAAAGTAATTACCATTAGCAGCTATGAGTTAATCCATTTCATTCATAATACAAGGAACATTGATAATAACAGAGCATCCAGCACCTGGAAAATGATCAAGAAATACTAAAAGAAAAGAATAAGCAATGTAAGTTAAAGTGAATTATAGTTTTCCAAGGCTATCCCTACTCTTGGAATACAAACAAATTATATTAAAATTTCACTTCATTTTTTAAAAAGTGGCCTATCAATAAACTTTCAGAGAAAGCTAAGGCTCAACAAATTTACAATCAGAACGATTCAATAAACCCAGACACAATGACATTTAATATGTAGAGTCCTTATAAAATTTAAATTATTTTCATAAAGTGTAAGATTTTTTTCAAGGAAGCGAAGCACATATAACTTACCACATCACGAAAGACAACTGCACGAAGGCGATTGATATCAACATCCTGAAGAAGTCTATCGGGATCTTTAATAGGAGAAAGATTACCTGGAACATTTTCTAAGGGAGTCTAGAAAGAGAGAGAGAAGGGGACAGAGAGGGAAAGAGAGGAGAGAGGAGAGAGGACAGAGGAGAGAGGAGAGAGGAGAGAGAGGGGAAAGGGGAGAGTGGAGAGGGGAGAGGGGAATAGAGGAGAGAGATGGGGAAAGGAGAGCACAGCAGAGGGGGGAGAGAGAGAGAGAGAGAGAGAGAGAGAGAGAAATTGTGAAGAAACACAAATTCCAGAAATTTTTATGGAAGTATCATTTCTAATATCTTTTAGCTTAGGTTGAACTAGTGAAATCATTTAATTCCTCCTCACAAAGTTAACATTTATTGACACTCTATTATTACAAGGCATACAGAGCATATCTTTCTCTTCTGCTCATGTCACTTACTGTTCTTATCCTTTATCAGCATAATTACTACTATATACTCATAAAGGCAGGTCTGGGCTCTAGTCTCTGATCTCTGACTTTGTCTTGTTACTAAAATTTCCTGAACCTCACTTTTCAAAACTTGCCAGCTCTATGACCTTAGGGGAGATTTTCTTGTTGCTGTTGCTGCAGTTTTGGAGTTTGAACTCAAAACCTTAATCTTGCTAGGTAGGTGCTCTACCACTTGAGTCATACCATTAGCCCCTTAGGTGAGATCTTAGCCTTTCCAAAACTCAGTTATATTATCTAAATGATAGGCTAACAATATTTATCCCAGGATGATTAAAGAAGGTAACAGATAATTTATGATATAAATTTATAGCATAGATGAAAGAAACTAGAAACATTTTAGTTTATATACTATTTTACATTTTCAAAGATCAACCTAATCTAATTTGACTCTTATAAAGACTACATGATAGGGAGAGCTTGGATTATAACTCCTATTTATATAGTATAAAAATGAGACCCCATGAAGGTAATGTGACTCATTCAAGTCCACACAGATTACTGGAAGGGAATTTTTTTCTATTATACTAACATACCACAAAAGAAATAAACACAGGGAGGGAAAAAAACTCTTACCACCAAGTTCCATTTATTTTTAGTGCTAAATGTGTTTTGTTACCAAGTCAAATCTTCCCTTAAGATTCCTACATCCATCATGTATTCATGATTTTTACTACCAAGCTTCTTGCCATAGAATTTAGCTCAGCTAAATTACTATAGGTTTTTTTTCCATTGGGCCTTTCTGTCCATATTCTACAATCAGAGCAGTACATGGCTTGAAAATCTTGAAAGGTTCCTTATTATACACTAAATGAAGTATACTTTTGAGATCTAACCTCTCCAAAATACTAATTTACTTACTCGTTTCAGAAGTATATATTGAGTGTTTAACTGATAGGAGGAAAAAGGAGTCAGCAGTAATTGACTGTTCACTGTATTCCAAAAATTACTAAGTATTTTAATACATTATTGGCTTGTTATTTAATTTAATCAATATAAACATCACATAAGTAAAGATTTGCATCACGGGGACAAAGGCAATTTGTCTCAGGTCACAAAACCAGCAATTGAGGAGCTGGAGGTGTGGCTCAAGTGGTAGAACACTGGCCTAGCAAGTGTGAGGCCATGAGTTCAAACCTCCAGTACAGCTCAAACAAAAACAAAAACAAAACAAACAAACAAAACCAGCAATTGAAAGAGCCAGTATACAACTTCACAACTGTCTCTTTTTACAACACATTCACAGTGCACCAAATGCACTGGAGTTATAAAGATGGTCAAGATATGAACACTTCCCTCTAGTAATTAACAGTCTACTATATCTACATAACTATTATGAAGCAGATTGCTGACATATTAATATTTAATTCCCAAACAATGGAGAGTCTGTGGAAGCTTATTGCCAATAAAATAATATATGATCAAATTATCCTGTAAAAAAGAAAAGAGGTCTGCAATACCAATATATACCATGAATATGTGGTTGGGCTGCTTGAAAATTGTCATAGAGTTTGCAAAATCAATTAAACTTCTATTTCATGCTTTCATTTATTGAGCAAAAAATTACTGTGCCAATATTGAATATTTAATTATAAGTATAGTGTATGACAAATATATACTGGGTTTTATGAAATATCAGAGGAACATACCTTACACTGGGGTGATGGTGAAAGTATCAGAAAAAATGTTAAGAAAAGCATTTAAGCTAAACCTAAGACCTGAACAAACTTTAGCTGGATAAATAATATAATTTCAAGGAACTGAAATTATACAAAAGTCTAAGAATTTAAAATTCTTCTGATGAACTAAATGAAGTCAACAGTAAGACACAGTACATATACATGCATGCTGCACCTGGAGAAGTGAGCAAGGACACTCATGATGAACCCTGAAATCATGTTAATAAAACTGCATGTAATAACAAATGTCAGTTAAACATACAATAGAGTTAATTCAGAGTGAGAATTACTAGTATATTCAGAAATATTCACTGTTTATTCATTTGATGGTCATTTAGAAAATTTTTGGTGACTATTATATCTATCACCATATACTGAACTCTGAGAATATATGTAACTATTAAAAGCAAACATTTTTAAAAATTTCAGTTATGTGCTGTTGCAAGAACCCTATAAGCAAAAATGATTAGTTTCTTCATTCAACAATCCAAATGCAAATGTCAAAGAGGTTAAATAATCTTGGCAACATAATTACAAAGCAAAAAAGCCAGCACCAGAGCCTAGAGCTGATTTCAAATAGTGTATTGTTTAGCTCTTGTAAACAAAACCGAACTTTTCCAAGTAAATGTAAATTATATTTCACATAGAAAATGGCTAAGTACCTTTGATGTTGTAGTGGCAGTCACACTTTGGGGAATTTCCTGAGGCTTACTGCTTCCATGGGAAGATTTGTTTCCCCTGTCTCTCTGTCTTTGTCGACACTCCAAACAGTTTCTCACAGCTACACAGCAAACTATTTAAAAAAATCAAAACCATAATATAAATTGTTAGCTCCAATGTACTGAAAAAATGTTGCTAATTTCTTTTTCTAGTTCTTTCTCCTTCTGCCACCTATTATTATTCTTAAAATTAATTTATTCCACACTTTTTAAATTTTGAAATACAGTAATTAAAGCACAATATATATAAAATATATACTAGGGCCATGGTGGAGTGGCTTAGGTGGTAGAGCACCTACCTAACAAGTGTGAGGCCCTAATTTCAAACCCCAGTACTGCAAAACAAAAACATGTATACACACACACACACAGACACATATAATGTGCTTAAAAAATAAAACAAATGCCTATATCCTACCACCCAGGTGAAGAAACAGAATATTATCAAGGACTTTTTTTCTTTTTTTTTTGTTGGCAATACTGAGGTCTGAACTCAAGACTTCAAGTATTCCACCACTTGAACTATGCCCCAGTCCATTTTGCTTTTAGTTTATTTTTCTGATAGGGTCTCACATTTACCCTAGGCCAGCTTCAGACTGTGACCCTTCTATCTACCCCTCTCACAGAACTGGGATTACAGCTGTGTGCCAGAAACTGGGCTTCATGGAGCACACCAACTTTTTTGCCTGGGCTGGCCTCAAATCACTATCCTTCCATCTCCACCTCCTACATAGCTGGGACAAGTATAAGCCACCACACCTGGCCTACCAGGACTTTTGAAGCTCTCAATATATCCTTTTTAAAAATTATTATTATTACCCACTCTTCTTCACAATTCCAAATCTTATGTATTGATAATTTTTTTAATAGTAAGCCTTCTGTCTTTAGTTTGACTATCTTGGCAACTTCAGGCATACTCATAGTAGGTGACTCTACTGACTTTGTCAATAAGCATGCAGTACATTCATTTATTTTAAGAAGCAAAAAAGTACTGTTTGTAATCAATGGTACAGATTTTGGTCCACAGTTCTTTTGGGTTTCTGTTTCATTGTTGTTTTTAGTTTTGGTGGTACTGGGGATTGAACCCAGGGCCTCTTGCATTCTGGGCAAGCACTCTACCCTGAGCTACATCCTGGGCCCAATAGTATATTTTTGAGAATCAGACCACCAGAACTTGAATCCTGACTCTGGCACTTATAAGCTGTGTGATTTTGGGCCATCTGCTTAAACTACTTATGCCTCAGAACCTGCATATGAAAAATGAGAATAAACAGCATAACTTCTTTAGAGGGCTGTCATGAGGCTTAATTAAAATCAATAGATGTAAAGTACTTAGAATAATAAATAGCACAGAAGATTAATGTTTATTATTTACTTATAAAAGTTTTCCGGGAGGATAAAACAACTAAATCTTGTAGGTACTATTAGGTTAAAAATGAAATGAGCAATAATGCTTACAATATATTTAGAAATAAAAGTTCAAAATCAAAATAATATTGGTTTTAAGATATTGAGGCATTTAAATATGCACACATACATAAATCATACATACATATCTTTCTCACAAAGTTTTGTCTATTAAATGTCAATAGAAATGTTCATCATGGCCCACAGAAAATTAATCTAAACCTCTTAGTTGTCAGAGACATCCTGATGTGGTCAATCTCTCCCCTATAATGAATATGAAATGATTCCTCTCAGGTTGCCTGACTTTTAAATATATAAAACAAAAATTTGGGTCTTAGTCCACCACTCTTAATCTAAGTTCTTGTTCCTTCTTTGAATAAAAAACAACTCAGAACTGCAGCAGCTTCTTGATATAGATACAATCCTGGCAAGGGCCAGAAAGGTGAATGAGGCCATAGTACAGCATTCAGTCTCTGCCAAGCTATCAACTGACTGCTACCACAGGATTAAGCCCAAGCAGACCAGCAGAAGAACCACAAAGTTGAGCCCAGATCTCCCAGATTGTGAACAAATGAAATAGTTGCTCTCGGCCACCAAGTAGCAGAATGGGTTATCTGGCAATATATAACAAATATAGTACTTAAATAAAACAAACAAACAAACAAACAAAAACCTCAAGAGGCTCTTGACAAAACAACAACACACCCAGAAACTTCTGCCATGTAAGTACACATGGATAGATTTTTGTTTATATATTCTTCTTAAATTAGTGGTTAAAAAAAAAAAAAGAGGGAATACATATCAGGGACTCCCTTCCTATGTCCTGCCTTGAAATTTTCTGTCCTGTTCATGAAAATAGCAGTTTTCTGCTTAATTAGAAGGTTTAAATACGTAAGTTAATTTCCCATCTAAGAAAGGTAAAAGAGATAAGAATAGTTTCTGTCTAAAGAGTTCACCCAAATTTACTAAGAGTTTTCAGTGCTAACCTTTCTTTGGAACATAAAAGATACCTGTTCACTTTGTGAAACAGTGAGACTGTAATAGTCTATTTTAATCCTTCTACCATAACGTTTACCATTATGGCATTTGTTTTCTGGCTTGTTTATAAGCTTAGGACACTAATCAGTATTAGTTTATGAAAATAGGATTCAAAAGTGGCTTTGCATTAAAATCACTTCAATGAAAGATGCTATGTCTTACTGATTCTGAAAGAATTCTAAATGTATTTGACTGTATTTTTAAGGAATAAATGAGTAATAATAATCAAACTCCATAAAATCTCCCAATGTTAAGATAGAAGTTTTTAAAATCTGGTAATAACAAGACAGTCAGTAATTAATTAGTTAACATAATTAACTTGTATCAATTCTTTATGTACCATATAGCTACATAAAACTAATCTCTAAGTAATTATTTAAGGAGCCCTATTATCCTAAACAGACTTACCTAGTCTTAGGCACTGTCGCATTAAACCTCCAGAAGACATGTTTTTTTCGGCTTCAATCTCACTAAAATTTAGAGAGCTGGCAAACACAAGTACATCAACCATAGCCATCAGTCGGCTGAGGAAAGTTACTGCTGTTTCTGCTGACATGCCTTGAGTCACTTCAATATTTTCCAATTCCGTCTTTAAAAAAGAAAATTAAAGCCTTGATTAAAATAGGGAATACAATACATGTAACACACTACAGGTGAACAGAAGTTTAGCAGTCAACAATATAAATGATAAGCTAAAATCACATATCACCAGACTGTTTCAAATTTAGTTTACCTATTAACTATTCTTGAATAAAGGAAAAGACTTAAAATCAATGTTGGTTTAAATTTCATTAATTCTAAAAAAAAACTACATTAAAACGATCATTTGATAATGATACTTAGAGATAACTGCACACTAATTTTATCTTAATTTAGAAAGATATAAAAATAACATTTCTAAAATCTTTATTCTCATTTATAAGATGCTTTTTTCTTTTCTATATACTGAAAATAGGAAAGACATTTGCAATTTCATTCAGCCTCCAAATGGGATGACCCTCGAATTATAATGTATACTAATTTCATATGTATTTTAGAATAAACTGAAGTCACTAGGTACTTCATATGTAGGGTAAAAATGATCAAGAGGATCATTAATTCTCCATATTTAATTTGAGACCTATAAAAACACTAGTAATAACATGAATAAACTCTAGACTGGAAAACTATACTTTCACTAAAATATTATCTATGTTAAAACCCAATTCCCTGCTTTCAGAGACAATATTACGAAGTATTTTGTTATCTAAATTATGTAATTTTATAGGTTATAAGTAATGGCAACATTCCTCATTTTACTTTTCATTGTGTGGTATAGAACACTTTAATGACTTTGATTCCTTGTCAGTAGAATTCATTTTTCTCAGTGTCCCGAAGGATCAGAGAAAAGTAAAGAATACTTTATCACTAAAAAATACTATCAAAATGGGCATACTAGACATATTGATTAACCTTACCTCTCAACTAAATCAACTACAGGATGAGCATCTTGGATTTCTATTCCTATATGTTCCCTTTTGACATTGCTTATACTCATCACTCTACCTTAACGTCTTCCTATCTGGAAGGAGCAGTAACATCAGCATGGAAAGTCAGGGGAAAGTACTTATTGGGAAAAGCTCAAACACTTCCGTACAATACAAATAAAACTGACAGAAAAACACTATAAGCACTATATAACTAAACTCAATTCTAAATGTGGTAAAAATGTAACACCCTCTTTTTCTTCAGCTTAACACCAAGATAGAGTTAAAACCAATCTCTCCAAAATGAGCTGGGAAATAGACCTAAAATGAGCTTGTAACTAGATCTAAAACCACTTTTAATTACTGATTTATAAGATTATTGCATTTAAATATCCAAGGCTTAAAATAAGATTATTTGTCCATAAAAATGCAGATTCCTCATTTACCAGCACTTCATGGATACAGCATGGATATATAAAATATTAAATACAGCATGGATATTAGCACCGCGAATTAAAAATCTGTGACCACAACACAATAGTATGTAACAAAAAGCAAAAAGAAATCATTTTAATGTTGTTTTCAATTTAAGTGTTGTATAATGAAATGGAAAATGTGGGTATTGCTTAGGTCTATCAAACATTCTGAATAACTTTTCAAAATATTACAATTTAGGATATCTAGAGATGTGTTCTCAAAGAAACTATTCATCACTTTGAACTACTGAAATTGTGAAGTATCTACCTCACTTCATTAGTTAATGGTTTATTTTTCAAGTTGGTTTACAGTCTATAGGTTTAAACTTCAAAATGTGCTTTCATTTTGAAATGAGTGATATATAAACAAAAAATACAAACAGAATTATTAAAAGTTGTCCATATAATTTGACAAAATGCTACTTCTGACCAAAACTATAAAATTTTAAGGTAAAAGGCATTCTTAACACAAATAATAACATAAAAGAAAATTTTCATCATGTTATATAAAAATAATTTACAAATAAACGGTATATAAGCATCTTTTGAAAGAATGTAAGAATACAATTATCATTAAATCTTAAGTGACATACATCTCATCTCATCTTCTTTAACTGGAACCAGTTAAAACCTGATTGTACATATGACTATAACATTATTGTTTCCATTATATTATGATTAGTTAAGTTATTGTGAACAATAAAACAGTAACTCATCAATGCACTGGAAAAATAATCCTTTTAATGATCTTTAAAATATACAAAAATATGCCTAATGTTAAAGATGATATGAAAACTCAAAATATAAATAATTCAAAATTTCATAAGTAAAAATAAAATTTAAAACTGAAAACCTAAGAATTACTGCAAAAGTAATACTAACCTTAGAACCCTGGACATGCATTAGACAAAACAGACAACAGACCAAAAAAGTACAAGAAAAGGAAATTATTAAAATTAAATGAAAATATATGTAAAATTGAAACACAAAATAATATATTTAAAAATTATATTTGATTATTTTATTAAAAGTAAAATTCTCAGAAGAGATATTCATCTTATAAATTATATGATTAAGGTTAAGTATCAAATATTTAAGACTTCATTTTTTTATTTGAGTAATTCTGCCCCAAAAATACATTTTTCAATTACAGTTTATATACTAGAAATTATGCACACTCTATTTTACAAAACAAATACCTTTTCCTAATAGATGATTAATAAAACATTCTAAAAAATGAACTAATAAATACCTCTGCAAAAGGCCTACATACTGACTTCGGCAGAAGTGACTCAGGGGAATGAACTATTTATACCAACCTTCTAGACTTTCCTATAAAGAAATCATATTATAATTTGTTTCCTCAAACATTCAGAACTCTTTCTAGAAATCAAAATTGAAATATTTAAGTGATTATAACTTAAAAACCACTTTTCTGTACCTGAAAAGAACTCACTAATACACTAAATAAGATCTATATATGAAGTAATACAATTTTATATTCAGAGTCTAACAATTATATTAATATAATAAAAAATTACAAAGGATGAGTTTCACAGTTATTAGTCACCAACTGTTTCTGTTCCTATTCTCTGATTTTTGAACAAATACCTGTGAGTATAAATCTGAAAGCATGTTATTTTCATGGTACATTCACTGGAAAACATATAAAAGCACACTGAGAATACCAAAGTATGATCCATGCTATGAGATACACAAGGAAAAACCAAAACTATTATTTTTCCAAATCTATAACCCGATAATAAAAAATGAACTAAAATTAAGACTTTGTCATTATTTTTAGAATTAGTAGGAGAACCAAAAATGTTGGTTTCTATTAATTTTCCTGTGAGAGAGAAAATTAAACTACATATAACACTGAATCAAACTCTAAGCATTCAGTGATCTGGATGTTTTAAGTTCACCAAAATGGCCAACTTAAAATTAGGAGGTAATTACAACAAAATCAATGAGTAAATTTGTGGTTGATCCATGTTCTTTGCTTTTCTTCATTTTCTTTCCTCCAATTCTCTGCTTTCATTCATGACCAACTTCAACAATGTGGTAGAGAATACATGAGAGGATTCAACTGACTAGTCCCGGAAACTGTAACTAAAAAAATCAATAACAAAAATAATATTGCTTCCCAAATCAAAGATTGATCAAACGATAGTACTAAGGATTTCTTTTTTTCCTGAGTATTGAAGTTAAATTAGATGGTTTAACTTAAAGAACTTAATTATTTGTATTTTATTTTCTATGACACATATGATTTTAAATAAGTTAGCAACCTAAAACTCCAATAAAATGCTGCTTCTTCAAGAATATTAAGTTCAAAATGCTCAGTATCAATATAAAGTGCCACTATAATCTTCTGTTCTTAAAGTTTCCATTAAAATATCTCCTTAAGAGTAATATTTTAAATGGCTCAAAATTTTCCTCCAGGATGACACTGCAACAGCAATACCCAAATACTATCCCGAGCAGATTGCTGTATTCACCAATGGTTCCAGGGCAGAAAACAGACCACTTGTATAGACTTTTCCTCTCAATGTGGATCATCCACAATACCTAAATTTATCTCAAATATTTTCAAATTCATGTTTGACTATGACATGCCTATTTTATAAGTGGGCTGATTATTCTGTCATTATGCAAATATATCCAAAAGGAATTAATGGTTCCAAAAGAAAACTTTTAGAGGCTTTCCCATCTCGTGTACTTTACATATATCACCTAACTTAATTTTCACAAATACCCTGTAGGATAAGTATAATTAATACCCTTTGTCAAATAAAAAAAAACCAAGGCTGAGGTCCTATCTAGAATATGTGGAGCTCAGTTTAAAATACAGACCTATCTTATGCTTAAGACCACACACTTTCCACTAAACCACAATTTCAGAAGAGGTCTTGAGTCTCTCTGATACAGAGAAACACGTTTGTTTTTGAAAAGCAGTCAATCATCTGAGATCGAGACATATTTTGAGAAATGAGGAAGACATATTCCTGGGTTGAGCTTTGGGTCATTATTTTTTAAAGTGGGGTGCTATAAAAAGCATTTAGCATTCTACTAATCTTCTCAGATTTTAATACATTTCAACATTAGATGTGTCAAATGATGAAAAAATTTATGCCCTATTGTAAAAGTTATAGATCTTTTAAGAGATGACCACAATATTCAGTGAAATTTTTTTAAAAGTTAAACTTTAATAAGTGCTCAGCAACTGAAATTCAAGTTATTATTTAATAGCTAAGAATGAATGTGTTTTAAGCTCCAATAACTGAGTTTTAACAATCAGTAATAAGCAATGAGGTCTTCACACTATGTCATTACATTATGACATTCTTATTTTATGTGCAGCTTAGGCCCTGTGTTAGTGTTTGACAAACAGTAAATCTGCTCCACTACTTGTTTTCATAAATAAAATTTTACTAAAATACACTCATGCCTGTTTGTTTATATACTATGGCTGCTTTTCTACTACAACAGAAGAGTTGAGTACTGGGGACAGACACCATATGGCCTACAGAACCTAAAATATTTTCTATATGGCTCCATACAAAAAAGTTTGCCAACTACTGTCATAATCACAATTATACTCATTTATTCATAAAATGCATATTTGCATATAACAGGAAAAATTTGAAAAACTCCATGTACTTCATCAAACTTACCAAAACACTCAGGAATTCATTTCAAATGTTTTTGTGTTCATATATTTAGAATTCAAATTCTAATGGTATTTACAAGACAATGTAGCCTTTTGTTATCTGTATGTTGTCAATTTCTTTTTCTTTTATCCCTTTCCAAATTCTGTTGCCTTTTTTTAACATTTTAAATCAAAGTCCAAAACAGTGCACCTTTTCAGTTCTAATGTCCTTCTTAAAAACCTCCTTTATCCTTTTTTCTCACTACTACGTTACAACTTATAGGTTACACAAAACAATGCTTAGTAGTCAGTACCTATCATAGCTCTACCAGATATAAAGTGCGAGAAAGGTCCTGGCCATTTCTTTTAAGAAAGCAGTTTATTAAAGAACATAAAATTATGTTGTACAACCAGGCATAGGTACAATCAGTTAATGGACCAAAATAACAGAAATATTGAGATAGAGACAATAAACAAATGTTTCTAGTCAAATAAATCCCAAAATCTGTTGAGAAAGTGAATAAGTAGTTTCAAATTCCAAACTAAAGTAGTCAAAATTGCATTGGTAATAATTTTGGGAGTCAAACTTTAAAATGACATTATCTTTATTGTATATTTAGTATAAAGAGAAGAAAATCTGAGTGTTCAAATAGTATGTAAATCATGATTATAACTTAGTTTTGAATTTAACAGTTTCTCTGTCTTAATAAAGACCTTTTTTAAAAAAAATAGAAATCTTTTGACTTTAAAATTTGGAAGACCATTTCTATTCAAATTTTAACAACTTACTGCTAAACTACTTATAAAGATCATTTTCTTCTGCATAAAATTTTAAACACTAAATATTTAAAGTATATTTTAATACAACCTTTTAAAATTTATTGACAAATGATAACTTATAAGATGTAAAACTTATATGAAAAAAACTGTCACATGGAAAACTTATTTTAATCTTTAATGTACAGAAGAAAAAATATTCCATCCTATCATAATAAGAGCATGCATATTCAAAATTATAACAGAATTTTGTATAAATCACCAGAAAAAACCTAGAGGTTAAAGAGAATGGATGGCATATGAGTCTGAAGATACCTGTACTCTTCACACACCATAAACTATTAATATTGTTCTTCCCAGTTCCATTTTCCTTTTTTTGGCTGCTAATTCCATAAAGGATCTAGTTGTACTCCATTCCCAAACTGGCTTGCTCACCTTTGTACACTTGTTGAATGAATTCATCTATGAACATCTGTGCATGTGCCTAAGTGGCATGTGTGAAGACACAATCTGTTGCTGCTAATATTTTAAGCTTCAGTGCTACTGTGGTGATAGCAGTTACAAAAAGAGTGAGAAAAAGAGCTATGTAGAAAAAGCTTGTTAATGATGAAGTAAAGTCAGTGATGAATTTGGAAACACTGCCTCATCAAGCAATAGACATTTTAATAAAACTATAGGTTTCTCTTTGGCATAGATACAGTTTCTGGGCACATGGATGGGTTTCAAATATGAAAGCAAGAACACAGGTTACAGAGGAAGCACAGTTCTACATTATTTCCCATTGAACAAGTAGTTATGGAGTCCTACTTTGGCATGAATCAAAGATAGTTTTATTTTATTTTATTGTGTTGCTACTGTTTAAACCCAGCGCCTCATGAATGCTAGGCAAGGGCTTTACCATTCAGTTACATACAAACCCAGCCTGGATCAAAGATGTTTTAAAAAAGAAAACTAAAATATAAAATTAATATTGATTCATTATATTTTCAAATAACATAGATAACTAACATTAAATGCTTTTGAATTTATTATATTAGCACAGTTCAATGTTTTACAGAGATAAATATGAGACAAGGCTAGATTTTTAAAATGTTGAATCAGTAAATAACCTCAGACAAAAATGATTTACATAAGGATTTTAACAGTTTATCATGACAGATTTGAGGAGATATACAATACACAGAAAATAATGTTAAATCATTTCCAGTTATTAATCTTCCCAAAATATGCATCAGAATTACCTGAGAAATATTTTCCTAAAGCAGGTGGAACCTAACACTGATACATAAAAGAGACTGGAATATAAATTTAAATGGTTAAAAGGTTCCCATTGGAGAATGTGTTTGGTAAAATCTACAGTATCTGACACTACCAAAATGCTCAGCTCATGTAATTATAAAATAAAACCACTAGATGGAGATAAAGTACTTACAGTTGGAGAGGTAGCAGCAGAGAGCAAAGGTAAAATTCCTCCACAAGCAATAATGATGTTGTCTACCATTTGGGAAATGAGGTGAATTGTGTTATGTACAAAAATAATATTTTCATTGCTATTGACAAAATCCATCACAGACTTTGTAGAATGGCTAAAATAGCAGAAAAACAAAACACAAAGAAACATTTGAATATTTTCTTGGTTTCAGAATACAAGGTTTATTCTAAATAAAATTTTATTTAGAATAAAATTTTTAAAGTAAAAAAATAGTTATGGACTAAAGAAAGGACCAAGACAAACCCAAAATGGAGTTATTAGAAAAGAAAACAATTTATAATTGAGATACCATATCACCAAAAATTAAACATTCATCTCCATAAGATTTTTGTGTCTAAGTATAGTAGGCAAATGCAGTATTAAATAGATTTTATGACATATGATTAGGCTAATTAAGGTAGTTAAAAAATATTTACTTTGCCAAATCTGGTTGTTTTGGCAAAACTATTAAATAGCTAACTGAAAACTTTGCCTTTTAGTTTATCGTAAGTTTCAGTTTATCATATCACCTTACTGCAGCCCCTCCCCCCCTTTCACCAGCATGCTGAAAATGTACACTGCTGGCCACAGAAGTGACAGGATAGGAGAATATAAATAAACTATTAACAATTCAAAGACTTATTGAGTAAAAAATTCCTTTTCTCAAAAGTAGGTCATCAGTATGGTTTTCTCATAGAAAACATGTAATGTAGATACCCAAAGAAACACATTGCTTTAGATTGGTGTCAGTCAATAATATGAAGTGTTTTCTAATGAGAAAAAAGAAGAAAGAGACATTACTCTATGATCAAACTCTGTTTGGGGAATTTCATGAGCATCCATGAAAGAAAACAGAGATACACAGTATGTTGCTGGAGAAACAGTTGAATATTGCTCACTTGGGGGCTACCAATCTTATAATTAGTATTGATCTTCATGTTAATAGTAATATATTTCATGATATTTCATTTTGCTTAACTACCATCCCTAGGTAACTTAGCATGTAACAACACAGTAATAAAATATAAGATTAGCATGTGAATAAATTGAATAAAATCAAAAGTAACAACTTCATATGGCAGATTTTATTGACAGATTCCACAATAGCCATGATTTTTTCCCTGCCGAAATGCTCTAGATTTTGTTTTATATTGAGGTGTGTCAGATGGGGCCTCACCTCAGTTACCAGGTCATTGACCAGTATTGGTTCATGTAGACAGTCATTATTATTCCATTCTGTTTTGCAGGTTTTTAATTTTGGAATAAGCATATGATCCTGCTGGACAGTAAGGGAAACTGCTTGAGGTACTTTTTTGGAGAAAATAAAAGTAGATGAAAAGAGGAGAAGGAGGAGAAAGGAAGAAGAGGAAAGAAAGGAAGAGCAAGAAGAAAAAAGAGTCCCTGTTTCTTAATTTGTACAAGTTTCTTATGTTGAATTGATGCCGGGAGCTGAAGCAGCCACTTTGAATCCTAAAAACAAAATTAGGAGAAGCAGAGAAGCCACCTTGAGTCTTGAGAATGTCATAGTGTTAAGAGCCCTGGTGCAGTCCCAAACTTTCCCTTATTCTAGCTGCCTCAATAGAGCTGACTAAATAATCAATGTTTAGGTATTTTGATACTTATAACCATTGACTACCTAATTTACATAATTTACGTAAACGTAAATAACATTCTTTCATAATTAATTAATTTGTTGCATATTTGCTACTAGAAAATTAGAAAAGGTAATGATTTGATTCATGGAATTTGTTTTAAGGGAATGTATTTGAACTGATATACTCTAACGGATTAAGTAGTATGATCTCTAAAAACACAAATATGAAATCATTTTAAATTTCAGTTTAGCAGTATATGCTAGAATACTTTTACCACAAATAAATTTTGCACACAGTATTAATTTTAACAGGAAAAGGCCAAAATTATAGAAATATAAACCAAAGTTGATTTTTTTAATTAAATCTGTTTCTATAGAGAGTAGGCAATGACTGTTTTAAGATTAAAAGCGATTGAAGTTGTTTTGGGGGAATGAGGAAGGAAAAATAGATGAGGAGACAGGGAAATTATGTTATTTTAATAAATATTTATAAAGGGCCAGACTCTGACATTGGAAAAAGGAAGTAAAGGCTGCCAGAGCAGCCAGCCCCTCCCATCTCTTTTAACTGCTAAGCTGCAGGAACCAGAGACAGAGGAGCTATCTGCTTCTGCTTTCCTCTTGGAGATGTTACCAAGCTATAGGGATCCTTGGATTGGTGGAAAATAATCATGTCTAATACAGGGAAGTTCTAAAGCACACCTATTATCTCTGTGTTTTAGGTAGGCCAGGATGACCTCTCCCTGTTTTAACAGCCACCCAGATCCATTATAAAAAGGCTGATTTTATAGCTTCTTTGTTTTGTTGTGTATTTCCCTTGCTCTTCGGTATAAGACTAAGAGACTGGGGCCACTACTTTGAGTCTTTGCTTCCATTTCCTGAATGGAAAACAGGAAATCTTTCTCTTTTTTTCTCTACTTCTGCCCCCTTGTCTTACTTTATCCTGTTATACTAAAACAAATCCTTGCTAAAACTTAAAAAAAAAAAAATAGAATAGGCAATGCCAGATTTAAAATTTTTGCCTTTTAATTCTTTTAAGTCTACATTGTTGCGTATCTATTGATGCAAGCTCCAGGCCTTATGAAAATTCTTATCTTTCTATAAAAAAATTGAATATTTAATTATTTTTAATAAATTCAATTTTGAGTTTTATTCAGTGATATAAATCACTTAAGAATCAATTGTTGCCATTAAATAAAAATATCCATTTTCTTCAGTGAAAATAGTTATATTTATAGAAAAGAAGTATTTTTACCTTCTCCAAACATGTACATCCGTTTCTAATGCAAATAACAAATCAGTGAGAAGTCGCTGATGCATTGGAGACCATTTAAACTCAGGGATCCGAAACATTGTAGTCCGGGGGCCTGGACTGAACTGGCGCCGCTGTTCCTCAGTCATGGGCATTCCTCGAAATCCTAAATCAACTCGGAGATCTCGGTCTTGTTGGGTGATTGATCGACCCTGAACAGCCTAAAGAAACAAAGGGTGAACTTTTGTGGAGCATGAAAGAATTTCTGATTTAATAATTAAAACAGTGTGGATAATAAAGTGAATGAGTAATTAACACTTTTCACAGAACTTTAGTCGGGAAAGACATTTTAAATATGTTATTCACCTGTAGTTCTCTTCATAAAAATCCTTTTGAGTTGAAAAGGCTGATTTTATAGCTTCTTTGTTTTGTTGGCATTGTTTTTGCAGTGCTGGGTCTAGAGCTCAGGGTGCTCTGCCACTTGAGCCATGAACTCAGCTGGTTTTGCTTTAGCTATTTTTTAGGATAGGGTCTGGCATTTATGCCCAGGCTGGCAAAGATACAATTTTCCTATTTATGTTTTCTGCTTGGCTAGGATGACAGGTGCATGTTGCCATACTCAGCTTTAATTGGTTGAGATATGGTCTCTTGAACTTTTTGCTTGGGTTGACCTTGAACCACAATCATCCTGATTCAGCATGTCCCAAGTAACTGGGCTTATAGTCATGAGCACCACGAGCCTAGCTTCTACTTTTACACTGCAGAAACTAGGTGTGGTAATTAAAGGTTAGCACCAAAGCTCACTATGACAACCAGATCCTTCCACCTTGCTACAGATCTTCATAGCAGATCACATGAGTTCCTCATGGAGGTAAGCATGAACGAAATAAAGCATACTGGATATAGGTCATCAGCTAGTTTTAACTATAAATACATGGTTAGAAGAAATATAAACTGCATGGATTCAAGTTTACTTCAAAGTCTATTTCATTCACAACACTTCAGAATAATAAATGCATTTACTGAGTGGGAAAACAAACCAGAAAAATGCTTATGCACTCCCAGTGAACAAGAGGCAAGTCTAGAGATTATTGTGTTCAATAAACAGTGCACCAGTTATCTTTATTTTAAATCTGTACCTAATTCAATATTCCATCCCCTGTCAATTATCACTATAGTACAACTACCACAAAAATGGAAACTGGCAGTTAACAAAGAAAAAATAAAAATACCACCACCCCACACACACAAGAATATATTATACAGTATTCTTACTGGAGTTCAAAACACCAGTAAGGCATGGCTGACTCTTTATAGTACAACTGTAATGGAAACATGTTAAATTTAATTTCAATGACATTAAAAGGCAAGTAAGAAACTCAAAGGATAAGAAAATACAAATAATTAAAAGTTTTATAATTTCAGACAGTCTTAAATATAAGGCATTGTTTAGCCCCCAAAATTAGAAATAGTCATAACTCAAAGTTGAAAAGAATTAAAATCTGTATCTGAAAACATTAAATGTTTACCTTTACTATGGCAGGAGCAAAACTGTAGCATTTAACATTTCCTAACCACCAGCTCTAAAAATGTTCAATTTTTTCAAAGCAAATTTCTAATCCATGTGTTTGTAAAGAAATTCTTACTGCTAGTAGTTCTAAATTTTCTTAGCTGTATTATTTACCTCACAGGGTTGTTTTGAGGATTAAATCTGAAAACATCTAGAATAGTGCCTGGAACACAGTAGGCACTTGATAAGTAACAGTTCTCTTTTCCCTTTCCCCTCTTTTATGAGTTCAATCTGAGCTGCAAGTCCTCTTTTCTACAATCCACAGAACCATGTGTGCCAGGAGCTCAAAAGGTTAATGCTAATCAAGTATTCAGAATGAGTATTTCAAGTATGAAAGGTGTAAATGTAGTCACAGAGTTATAAAATGTAACAACTGCCAGACATTAAAGGTCATAATTTAATTTACTATAATGTCTTGAATTATATAAGGATCTCAGGCACAGAGAGGTTGAGCAAAGTTACAACGAAAAATGTGGCAGAACTACAAATATAATTTAGATACTTTTCACTTTGAATACATATGCTACTATACTATTCAATCCTAAAAATTAGTATTAGACATCAAATGAATACAATCATGATATAATTGGCAATAAATTACTACACTTTGCAGCTAAAAACTCTATGTTCAATGCCTTTTTTTTTTTTTGAGATAGTATCTTTCTATGCAGCCCAGGCTGGCCTCAAAATTGTGATCCTTCTGCCTTAGCCTCCTGTGTGCTGGGATTACAGATGTGTACCACCACGCCTGGCATATTCAATGCATTTTTATTTATTTATAGAATTCATGTAAGATAGCTTACTTGTGTCGTAGCAGTAGTCTGGATTTTTCGTATTTCCTTTCCTGATTCTTTGCCATCATCAGATCTCTCAGTATCTGAAATAATACTTCCAGCATCAATATTTGGTACAATTTTGTTACCAGAGGACTCAGTTTCCAGTGTTGTAGCAGTCATTTCAGCATATTCTAACCCCTTAGCTGATGATGCTAAGTCTCTTTCAGAAATACTGCTCATTCCATCGGAAGTTGTATGGATTTTGAACTCTTTTTCTTCTATTATGCTTGATGCACAAGTTAAGTCTACACTTCCAGTCATGTGAGCAAGTAATCCAAGATCATCACTGACACCAAGATGTACTTGTGTATCCTGAATATTTGGAATGATGTGATTGCTAGAAAGTTCAGGAAGCAGTTTCTCTTCCTGTTTGGGTATTTTGTCAAAGAGAAAAGATGTACTACTATTGGGAAGTTCTTCTTTCTCATCTGCTAATGTTATCAATGGACCATTATCCTTCTCTTCATTTTTTTTAATGATACCAACACTTCCATGAACATTGTTCTGGAGTTTCTCAACAGCAGCACTGTACACATTGTCCAACAAAGATTCTACCTCCACAAGGGCACCATTCTCTCCACCCACCAAAGTCTCTGGTGACAAATCCATATCATCAAGCTTTACTTCTGTTGCTTCTACTTTTTCTGCTTTTATATCAACTAGAAGATCATGCACTTCCACGTGTACTCCACTCCCAGGTCTATCTGAATTTCCAAGAATTTCATCTGACACTTTCGTTGACATGAGTAAGTCTCGAGTGTCTGTGCCGACAGGATAATCTGTCTCACTTTCTGGGCTCTGGCTTTGTGAGAGATCTTCTATCTCACGGATTTCCATTCCTCCTTTTGCTCCTGTTGTCTGTGATGAAAGACCAGAAATGGTGCTCACATTCCCTTTCTTTCCCTTTTTAATGTTTTCCTCCTCTTGTCTTTGATATTCTTCATACATTTTGGCAAGATATTCCTTATGTGCTTCATAAGTGACCTTGAGAATAAACAGGGAAAACAATGAAGCATTTTGTATGCTAAGAAGTATAACATAAATAATACAAATAAAATCATGGTAATAATAGCAAAAATGATACCAGGAATTTTAAGATTTTAAATAGCTTATGAAATCCTAAGACATGCTTAATTTATTCTTCAAACATAATCATCACATATAGCTATATATGATTTATTACATGGCTTACTTGAAATCACACAGGTAAACTAGTAATATTAAAGGTTCTTTTTCTTTAGGTTAAGTATTTCAATGTTATCCAACCTAATATGACAGTTAACTCCTATACATTTATTTAGGTTCAAATGGGAATTGGCAAATAATAATATATATCATCCAAACTACTACTGCTATGTTAGTTTTCACCATCTATTGCTCCTAAGTGTACCTGCTAAATAAATATCTATAAACTGCTAAACAAATGTTTTTGCTTATACAGGCTAGTTTGAACTTGTTACTTCACATGGGCTTGTCTAGGAATAATGGAATTTTTTTTGTACATAGACTTGCAATGCCTTCTTTTTGGTATTTTCAAATTTGTTAAAGTAACGATAAAGGTGAGGTACCAATATATTACAAGATGCAAACTGTGACAAATAAAAGCTTGCCTAATTTTTTAAAGTTCAAAATTCTTAGTAGCAACAGATGATACTGACATATATTTAAATCACAGGCTAACAGAACTTTTGATTGGCTTTTCTTTAGAAAAAGAAAAGGGTAAAAGAAAAGAAAGGGGTTGGCAATCCACCACTAATACCCCAAATCTGCTTGTCCTCTGTTTTGATAAATAAAATTTTGTTACAATACACAACGTGCATCCCTTTGCATGTCCTCTGTGGCTACTTTCTACATGACACAGCAGAGCTGAGTAGTTCTATCAGAGGCAGTATAGACCATAAAGCCTAAAATGTTTCCTGTCTGTCCACTTAAAATATTTTTCTAATCCCTATTAAAAATGAATTTCCTAAAATCACAAAACTCAATTATGACAAAGCTGGGTTAAAAGCCAAACTTTTAATGCCCATGCTTCTTCTATAACACTACGTGATGAGAAATCATAATTCTGAATATCTAAAATAGAACATGTATATACTCATACATTTTACAACTTTATCAAAGATCAAGGAATATTTTTATAGACAGATTGTTGGGATTAAAAATAAAGAAAAGATACTACAATCAAAGTCTCACTGATGTCACTAAATAGTTTAACTGTATTTATAATTCACCTGAAAATGAAAGGAAAACTACTTTTAAAATGTCCTTAAAAGTGTATTTCAGAGACTTATGAAACATTTACAAAGATTAGTTGTACCTAAAATAGCAATCAGCTCAGACTCACATACTTAAATCTGATAGAGATAGCATCTAAAGTTCCTAATTTATAAACTTTGTGTTTGAATTAAATAATCTACAAGATAATTTTAAGCCATAACAGTCTAAGAACAGATGGTAGAAAAAAACAGAAAAGAGAACAAAAAAAACAGGAGAAAAGAATCTGCCATAGCCTAAGATGTCCACAAGATGGCACCAGATGAGGGTTTATAGCCATTTATGACAGAATATGTTAAATGCCTGATACCTTGGAATGTGCTATTGAGAGTGTATCCACCCAGACTCTCCAGCCTCCCCATTCATATTTTATTGCATGATACAAAAGGATCCGGAAGATATTGTAGACCATCTCAGTAATCTTCTGCTCCTCAGAATTTTTAGGATTAATATAGCCAAGAGAAAACATCCAATCCTGCCACACTGAACACTGCAATAAGCATCTAAGTAAGAAAAAAGATTTCATTAACATATGAAAATTAAATTGGAATTTACTGTCATGAAATTTGGATAAAATAGTACAAATATGATCTGACCTAAATTAAGACAGGTGCACAATTTTTCTGTATTCAACAACTTCATTTTCTCTACTGGGAAAATCTCAATTCTTATTTAAAATCACTTTCCCAGCTCTCTCAGTCATAATTAGTTATTGTTTCTCTACATTCTCACCACCTTTCATGTTCACAATGTACCTAATACATTATAAATAAATGATTTATGATTATCGTCTGCACTGGACTGTACCAAGGCTACCTACCCTGTGACTAAGATATCACACGCAGTTCAGTGTGTCACACATGATAGACAATGTTAGTTACACTAAAGGCTTGGAAAACAACCACAGATACAAGTTCATGGTCTTAGACTATACCTCAAGTCTTAGCTAAGCAGCTTTAAAATGTATGATAACAATCAGACATAAGACAAACAAGGGAAAGCATACATGAATATGTGTAAATTCGACACTATTAGAATTTAAAGTACTGTTGGTGATACACAAGTATTGAAATAGAACAATATTAGTACAGGTTTATTTATATTATATACAATTAAAATATACCTGAATAATTAAACAAAAGAATATAAAAACAAATAAAAATATGCTGAATATAGATTTTATCAAAGAAACATACAATGTTTTTCTAATGATTACGAGTTTTCAGCAATATAGAAAGACTTGAAATTTTTTTAATTGAAAGACTGAAAATTAAGGTTAGAGAAAAGATTAAGTGTTGGGAAAAAAGTTCATTGTAGCATTCAATTATTTACCTTCTATTTTCACGGCTGTTACTGAAAAGTTTTATCATATCGGATAAAAATAAACGACGAACTTCCATCAGTTCTGCACTTGGTGTTGAGTTTTTCAACAAAGTTGCCACCACCTTAAGAATCACTGTAAAAAAAACAGAAAGTAAATCACAGATTTCATTTATAACTGTATCATATATGCAACTAAGATAGGCATCATACTTGCTAATTTTAAGCTAAGTACTTAGCACTATGATAGTTGAGTCATAAGAGTCATGAACAAGGTAAACACTGTAATGATTTAAGCAGTCAGAAAAAATTTTGATTTAGAGTCACACATTGCCATGTATCAACTGCATAATAGTAAAGAACTGCCATTTGCTCACTTGGATTCTGAATTTTCACTGTAGAATCTGGCTCTGGATGTGGTTTGTGTACAACCTGAGTACACACTTGCTCTGTCAAGATCTGAAAGATGAAGAATTTGAACTTCACTTAGAAAATAATTTAAATCATAATTGTAAAATATGTAAAGAATCTGCAAAAATGGCAATTTGGTTCAAATCATCAAAACAACTCTTCTTAGGGTCTTTTTTTATGAATTACACATACTGTTAAACTCATAAAGTCTATATTTATAAAATTTTATATTTCAGAGAAAGACAAAAACAAGACACAATGACTTCAGACTATTATAGAAGGAAAGATTAATTAGGTAATTCATGAATTTATTGTTTGAAACACCTTTTCAATATACATCTTTAACGTTCACCTATGTTGTGAATTATGCTGACTTGTGTCATCAATTTTAAAAATTAGAAAATTAGTAAACAAGAAAATTATGTCTAAGCCTTAAAACTGAAGTACAAGAAGGAAAACTGCCTGAAAATGTGGCTCACTGTTACATCTGAATTTTTTTTAATCTCTTTAAAATAACAAAAAATGATACAAGATAACCGGGTAGAGGAAAGATTGAATCCTAAAACACCTGGTAAATTTTCACTAAAGCATGGGCTAAACAAGTGCAGGATTTTGTATTTCTTCTTCTCTGTTACATTCCAATGATTAGGAGTGGCTGACATACCCTAGTACTCAATATTTGTTACATGATGGAAAAGATAACTGAATTACATATAAATAATATTATCTATGACTGTTATACTATAAAACCTACTATTTTAGGCTTTAACCTATATTTACCTTTACTGTTAAATGTACATAAACCCAATGAGGCTATATTCTTTAAAAATCACTTTATATCAGTGATTTTATTTCCTACTTAGTTTTAACATGCTAAGTTCTCAATAAATCTTTTAAAACAGTTTAACCTAAGTCAAATGAAAATGGGGCAAAAATATTAATATTAGTTTACAGACCAGTTGTACATGGCTATATTGCAAAAGTTGGGAATAGAAAAGGTAAATTCAGACAAGGAATGATCCCTTCTGATTAGAAAAGAACCATGGCATCTAGAAGTGCACTTTTCTTCCCTTTCTGCTCAAGCTAAAGGAAGACAGGAAATTTACACAGGTTTATCAGTTAGGAATGTATACCAAAAAGGTATTGACTTGAAATAAAACTGGCTTCTTACTTAAATGATAAATATTGGGCATAATTACTCCCACACTCCTCAGTTAGATACTTCTACCAAAAACTGAACACTCTATTGTTAAAACTAAATGGTGTCAGAATTTTTCTCAACAAAACACTCCAAACATGCACTATTACTCAAACATTGCTAAGATGTGTGATAAATGTTCTTTGAAAACCTTACACCAAAGAATGATGAATTAGTGGTTGGTATATAACAAGAAATTTTCATACCAATCTTCCTGAAAAGCCTAATGAACAAGATTCCAGAAAAATTCTGGTTACAAATAATAGATTAAAAATAACAGCAGTCAATCTGGGAGAAAAACCAGACTGTACTACTCTAAGATAGAAAATAATCCAAACTTTCTCCACCAAAAGAAAAGAAATTACATTGTACAGGAAATGAAATCTATCTCAAAGTATCACCAATCTTTATGCTGTTGTGTTTTTAAATCCCTGCTTTATCATCTAACAATGAGGATAACAATTACCACATCTATCTAATAAACTGGCCAGTTAGATTAAATAAGTTTTCTTTTTAAGTTAAATTTCACTTACTAACGTTAACTCAATTTTAAGTTATACGTCCCATGTAGATTTAGTTTTTTTGCAACCAGATGCTACTAGCCAAAATGATACAATCTTCAAGCTTTGGTGATCCAGAAACAGTAATCCACTTTCTATCATTCCAATTTGGTTTGTTAGTAGTATTAAGATTTAAGCGAAGAGTCCTTTTACTATTATGTGTAATCAATGATGTGCAACAAACATTTACCATCATTGTTTATTGACATTTTTTGTATATTTATATTACCTTTTCTTTTTAGAATGAGCTCATTATGAACTCAAAATCTTTTTGACTACACTGACCTTCTACTCTACTGTTAATAATAGCTCAAAATAAGCGAAGGGTCAGAAATTCACATAGGTTAAATAATGATTAAACTCAGATATACATCATTGGCCAAAGCAGTGAGTAGGTACTAAAATTACATAACACAAGTTAATCAATACTAGACACTAGCATTCAGAAACCTAACCTGACATTGTAGTGGAGTTTTGATTCACAGAAGGGCTATAATGCTGTCAATTGAAGGTAGATTCTAACATGTTTGCCTTGTACACATATATTAAATAGCCTGCCTATTTTAGTTATATGAACCAATTTAGTGTTATAAAGCAAATTATTTAACCAAGTTTCAGTTTGTCTGGCAATAGTATTACCAGTATCATAGGGTAGAGAATTGAAACAATGGATATAAAGCACTCAGAAAGATGACTATTCTAAGAAGTACCCAACAAAAAGTAGCTATTATTATTAAGGAAATATTTATATCAGAATCAAGAAAAGAAATTGTTTGGCATAGTAATTTATGTCTATAATCCCAACACTCAGCAGGCTGAGGCAGGAGAATCTCAAGCTCAAGGCCAGCCTAGGCTACATAGAAAGAACTTATCTCAAAAAAAAAAAAAAAAAAAAAAACCCACAAAAAACAAGCAAACAGAAAGAAATGGAATAACCTCACCCTACTCTTCAAAGGGTAGATATCCTATTAGTGCATATTTAGCTCTGCATGTAAATATTGAAACAAAACTAAAAAAGCTACTGCATTGCTTTAGAGGGTAGCATCCACAAATTGTGTGATTTAAGGAACGAATGACACAAAGTGTATATATTATGCTTAGAAACAATAAATTAGAGGAGCTATGTTTTCATTCATCCAAAGGGCTACCACTCCTACATTTATTAATAACATAAAACAAAGAAAATATGAAATAAAATAGTGAACTATGTTATAAACCAGGGGTCAGAAAACCTAAGCCTGGAGCCATATGTAGCCTACCTCTATTTTTGTAATGCGATTTTATTTGAACACAGCCCATTGGTTCACACTGTCTATGGCTGCTTCTAAGATATACATGTAGAGCTCAACAGTTGTGACAGATATCATATAACCCCCAAAGTCTAAACTTTTTACAATCTGTCTCTACCAGAAAAGTTTGCTCTCCTCAGTTATGTATGAGTATTTTGTAATAAAAAGATTTGCAATATATTTAAGTGGAAACAAGGATACAAAGCTATATATAAGATGGTACCTTATAAGATGGGCATGTGTGTGTGAAAGAGAAAGAAAACAGTGATTTGAAAAAAATTATATACATTTTTAACTTAAGCCTTAATAGAGATTATATGGATAAATTTTATTTTGATTCTTTTCTATATTTTCCAAAAAATTTTAATGAGTATTTATTAACTTAAAACTGCATGACAATTCCATTTAGAATTTTTTTTTATTTGTGAAATATGTAATGATGAGATAATTCTGTTTTATATTATAAACACTACTTTTCTGAGTTATGATATTATATGTATCTAGTCTAGTAATGCTGATAAGTTTTTTTTTAGCATGACTATAATGCTATTGCAGGCAAATGCCTTGCCATCTAAATCTATAAAAAACAAATTCACAGCCCACTGTCTTTAAAAAAAGTGTGAGATTAGAAATCAGTTTTTCCTATTTTGACCTACTAGGTGTGCACTGGTATTAAAAAAAAAAGGTTAGGTTCAGCAATACATGTAGTACAAGAAACACTGCTGAGGTATTGCATCACTGTGATTACTACTGTGCCGCCAAGCAGCTATACAGGAGCATATGACAAACACTCTTTGTTGCAGTGCAAAAGCAGCCATAGGGAATACCGAAACAAGTAACTGTAGCTATGTTTCAACAAAACTATTTATGGACACTGAAATTCCATTTTATATATTTGAAATGTCATGCATTATTTTCTTATGATAATTTACAACACTTGAAAATATGAAAACCATCTTCATCTTGCACCTACACAAAAACATTGTTTGTACCTACACAAAAAAAGTTTTGGTAGTTTGCCAACACTCACCCTAAAGAAAAACATTCAGATCACTGAAAATCAGTTATAGGAAAGTAGAATTAAGGTTAACATAAAGGAATAGTTCTGATATTTTATTGGCATTTTAAAAATAAAAACAGCCAGCATTAGGCAGTATATACATTTCATAGAAAACAATAAATCCAAAGCTGTATGACCATGTGTTAGAAATGATGAGGAAGGAATTTTAAATCGAAACAATGAGATCTAAAGGTATTTTCAATGTCATTTTTATGAATCGTTCTTAGCTACATTTTATCTCAATATGAAATCTATCTTAATGTTATTTTCTACATATTAGAAAGTGGGGTGGAGAGGAAGGCATGTGGAAGCAGAACTAAAAATGTAATACAAAATGAGTATAATTTAAGTGAGAACAACTGTTAAGCCAATCTGCCAACCCATACAAAAAAATAAAAATAAAAATAGGCTTTGAACCAATATAACAACATTAGCAAATAATTTGTACATGTTCATGTCTTAAAATAAAAATATAAGGTATTTGTTCATCTTTATTTTTAACTGGCTTTTCAGACTAACTAACCAATTACTGATCTTACACAGATTAAGGTTTCCATTGTATACAGTTATAATTTTCATCACACAGTTTTTTTTTTACCTCATAAAGTGTGTTGTATGTGGTGACGGTCACAGTGTTTGTATGCAACATTAGCCTTTCTCCAAGAAGAGTGAAAAGACTATGGGTGTGCATAATTTCAACTTTTCTCCTGGAGAAAAGGGAGGAAAAAAAAAAAAAAAACATGAAACACTGGCGTCTGAGATCACATGACTTCTGGATAAGAAAGCACATTTATAAGCAGATAAAGAATCATCCAAGTAAATAATTTTTATGAACTTCCACCCACAGACAGAAACAACAGTTTATAACAGCTGTCTTATAAAGCCTCAAGATTGTTATTTTAACACTTCTCAATTAAGATAGCCATAACAACTAAAATGTGAAATATACAAATAATATAACCTTATATAAATGTTGATAGTTATTGTTTTCAAGCTATTGTTTTAAAATTAGTAACCCTAACACTCAGACTATGTAACTCAAAGTTTATAAAATAGTGTGAAACAAACCTTAATATCAAAAAATCTGAAATTACAGTTAAAAGTGAATATTCTAGTAAGATATTAGACTCATGAAGTAAAATAATACTACATCTCATCATTGTTTATATTTGTGGTCTGCCAATGGGGTGAAAAAACAACTTTTCAAGTTACTTTAGCTCATTTACAGATCTGCATATATCCATATACAGGTAAGAAGGTTCTAGTAAAAGCCTCCTGGAACACTTAGCTCAAGGAATTACAACATGCTTCTCATTATTGTTATTTTATTAGAATTCTAGAGCTGTATCTTCTTGGCCACCAACCCTAAGTATTTCCTATCTTCCTTGTTTATATAAGTATAACACACACTGACTATGTAAGCACCAAATTGTTATTCCTTTCTTCCTGCCACATTTCTAGCCTCTCTTATAAGTAGATGTGGTAATTTAACTGAGTTCCAGCCAATGTACACAGAAAAGAGGTGGACAATTCCTAAGTTTCATCCATAGAATGACAAACAGACATGTTTTCCATGCTCTTTCCACAAGCCAGCAACATGGAGCCATATGATAAGTTTAAGACAAAAGAAGTGTCCTGTCTCTCTTAATCACTACTTATAAGAGCTATCATCTTCTGGGGAAAATCCATTTGAATATTAAGTTAACAAGAAAGAGACTAATAGATAAATGAATAAAACTTCCTATGCTCTAGCAGCTATAGTTACCTTAATAAACAAATTAAATGATGAAGTATTTATGTTGTTACCACTCATCTTCAAATCCTCACTTCTCAATATCCAAGCTCAATATTCCACAACAAAGACACAGGACAGCTGATCCCTTCACCCAGCCCTTCTCAGACCAGGGAGGGTAATAGTAAATTTACCTACACCCAAGAGAAAGCTAGGGCTTTAGTTCTATTGGTGTTGTTTACAAAACACTTAATCTAAGATTGAAAAAGGAAGAAAAAAAAAAAAGATTGAAAATGGTCAACTGGCTATAACAAAACAAAAAATAAGACTTATGGGTATTATGGAATTGATGAAGGTGAAAGCTTATGTCTCTTCTAATTTAAGCCACAAGCAAAAAAGTGGGCCTGGGGCTTCCATTTGCTCCTAATCAGGAAAGAAGAAATGCCAAAACACTGTCCTTGGTATGTCACTCTTGTATACAGAACAGTGAGAAACCATGTCTAAATTGGCCTACCTGGAATTTAGAATAATTTCTTCATTGTATCACTACAACTTCAGCTATCAAAAAATTAATGACCTCTTAATTATCTCCTCCAATGTAAATGCTTATACAGATGCTTAAGTCTAGGTTTTGGGGAAACTTGAGACAACTGTGCAAATACCATGGAAGAGATGGGTCAGCTTCTTCCTGCATTTACATTTAAATAAACAAACAAACAAACAAACTGCTTACCAATAAATTTTGCTGCAAGTAGTCAAGAGAGAGCTAAAAATGCCATCTACCAACTCAGGCAGGAATTAGGTGTACTGATCCTGTACATGACATGATTTTATTTCCCCTAGGGCCTCTAATAAAAGACCTACCTCTATGGAGTCAGTTCAGGAAAGATTTCAGTAGGACACTTATCATAGAAACTCATATCATAAACCTGCTTATCACCTAAACCCAATCAGACTCTAACCTTTAATGCCTGTTTACTTTACCTTTCGAACTTTATAAAATTTCTGCCCATTTGGATCAAAAGTGTAAATGTATGTTTTAAAAAAATATAATCACCTTTTATTCATGCAAATTAGAGACTATTAGCATACAAAACATTCCACTGAAATATATTCCAATTCCCTTCTTTACAAAACAAACAATCTTTTTTTTTGGATCATCTAAGAAATAGTTCTTGGAATAAATTCAGAGAATAATACGTAGAAACGGTTTTTTAAAAATTCTTAATTTAATAGCCCAGATATAATCATTATAAATATCACTTTATGTTCTTCCAGATTTAATTACTATAGACATAAATGTATACATGACATATAAATAGAAAAGATATTACCATAATGAATATTATTTTATATAACATAATTTTGTAGCTTGCTTCCTTTAAATCAACATATATATTTCTCAGTACCCCATCTAATCAATAAAAGCTGAACATGGAGGCATATGATTGCCATCCCAGCTACTCAGGGGACAGAAATAGGAACTATTCATAAAATAAAGAAAAAAGGGCCAAGGGAATGGCTCAAAACACTGTAGTACCTCCCCAAAATTTTTTTGAATTGATAACAAAAGTTTAGCATAATTAATTTATCCATTCACTGATGTTGGAGATTTTTGTTATTTCTGATTTTTTTCTACCATAAACAAACTTTCCTCTAGATAAATCTTTAGACATTTCTATGGTTATTTCAAATTCTTTTAACTGAAATGACAGGGTTAAAATTTTTCATATTTTCATTTTTTTATGAAATCTTGCCAAACTGACCTCCAAAAGTATATACATTCATATTTCTACCATTCAGGCATATATTCATTATACATAAGCTCTACAATCCCATGTAAAATGATAATAGTCAATTTGATATATAAAAAGTAAACATTTTCATATGCAAGAAATGCTTACAAATTTTCAAAAGTTTTTGTTTTTGTGGTACTCATGATTGAACTAAAGGACCCATCCTTGTTAAGCAAGCATTCTACCACTTGAGTCAGGTCCTCTAAGTGTTTTGAGCATTTAAACTACTACTTCTAAAAACTTCCTAATACTGACCTGTGGCAAGTTTGTTTTCTCTGTATGGTCATTTCTTTCCTACTGATCATAAGAATTCTAATAATATCAAGGAAATTATCCCTCTATCGCATAATTGACAAATATTTTCCACTTTTTTAATTTCAAGGGCTTTCTTTTGTCATAAAGGACTTTAATTTTCTTAAATAAATTATATAAAGCTTCTTCCATGACATTTCTTAATTCGTAGTTAACGTTGGAAAGACCATTTTATCTAGTGACCACTATAAATACTCCTTTCTTGGCCTTTCCCCTGTAGCATTTTAGAGTATTTTTATTTTAATTCATTTTTTTCAATAATTTTAAGAGTTTATATTATATGATATACAATACAGGAAATCAAATTTTGCAGGAAAATACAAAGTGGAAGCTTTAAAATTTCACTACCCAAAAGTAACATAATAAGTAAGAAAAAACACTAGAAATCTCTTCATGAAGAAGAGAATGAGAGGAAAGGAAAGGGAAGCAAGTAAGAATGAGTAAAGGATAGAAGAAACTCATTAAATTTTCTTTTATTTTGATTTACTGATTGGCTGGTTGACTGACTGCAGTGTTGGGGGGGTCAAGCCTATGGTTTCACAAATGCTTAACTATCACCTAGCTACTCTGTATCTTGCTTAATTTTATCTTTGTAGCCTGCTTAGTTTTATTTTAAGTAAAACATCAAACATGATTTTATTCATAATTAACAGAAAGAAAGGAAATGGACATGAAACTGAGAAAAAACTTCAGGTGACTTTCATCATCATAGCAGATACCCTGTATTTTTTTTAATCTCTATCAGATTTTAAAATAATTATGAATACAACAAAAATTAATATATAATTAACTATTTCCATTTAGATGGTTTCTTTATCCTCCATATTGCATTTTCAATATTTTAATTACATTTCCTAAAGTCACATTTGAGTCATTGTCTCCTTAGCACTGTAAGGTCCTTTTGCATCTCATTTTGTTCTTTATCTTGTCTTGAGAGCTTATTGAATTTTATGTGCCTGCAAATTATTCTATAGCTCAAATATTATGGAAAATTACTTCCTTTTTTCCTAATACGTTTGTCTTTGAATTACATTCTTCCTTGGCCTTTTACTCATTTATTTTCTCTTTCCCTGCACATCACATTGCATGATTTCTTGCCATTTTTTTCACCTTGCTTATTATGCTTGTGTATTATGTTCAAACTTATAATTTATTGTCACAGAATTTTGTTACCAATAATCTTCTCTCTTTGCTTACATTAACTGAGACTTGATTGTTTTTGACTTTGAGATTAATTCCAGGGCTGGGCATTTCCTGTCTTATCCCTTTGACTTGAATGAAGCCCACAGGCCTTAGTTGGGACTCAATTGAGGCTATTTGCAAACATACCAGAGTGCCAGCGCTGCTGTGTCATAAGATCACATTTAAAATAATCCTCCACTACCCCTCAATTTATTTAGGAAACCATGCCTCACCTCCAAAGGTAAACTCTTGCAGGCTTTGGCTTGATCTCCAACATTGAAATGGAAAAATCAGGAATCTTAACTTCTATCACCCAATGTCAGCCTCAGCTCCCTATTCTCCTTGAATTTTATAGCAACTATTTCCACCCACCCAAAATTGGAAGAAACAGTAAATAAAGACACCTAATGTTGAGATTATAAGGGAGAAATCTAAGACTCATGCTGGCTTTGCAGGGATAGGAATGAGGTAATTATATATATGAAATCACTAGAATTTTCTGATTCTTTCTTTAGCTGTCAATATTTTGAATGACATTTTTATAATGCCGCTTTCCTTGTTTGACTATATTTTTTGGAGGGGCATTTCTATTTTACTATTTAATATTTATTTTTTCAGGTTTGGACAATTGAAATTCTTCCATCTCTGCTTAGGAACATGATCTGGAAGTCCTTAAATCCAAATG